CTCTCTCTCTCTCTCTCTCTCTCTCTCTCTCTCTCTCTCTCTCTCTCCCCCCCCCTTCCTTATACTTATGGATCAGATCTAAGTTCTCAGCTATTGCTTCAGTGACATAGCCATGTGCCCGCTGCCATGTTCTCCACTGTGATGGTAATTGATTCTAACCCTCTGAAACCGTGATTCCTAAATTAAATACTTCCTTTTGTAAATTCCCTTGCTCATGATGTTTTGTCACAGTAATAGAAAAATAACCAAGACAGTGTCTGTTCATGTTGTTGGCTTCTGTTGGTTTAATTTTAGTGGTTTGGATAAATCTAAAAATCTTTCCATCTCTTTCAAGGTTTCCAACTTAATAGAATTCAGATTTTTAAGGCATCTCCTTATAATATTTTGGATGTCTTTGGTGTCTGTTGTAATGGTTCCCTGCTCATTTCTAATTTTGTTAATTTATGTTCTTTCTTTTTTTCTTTTGGCTAGTTGAGGTAAAGGTCTGTGGATCTTGTTTATCTTCTCAAAGAGCCAGCTCTTAGGTTCCTTGATTTATTTTTTTATATTGTTTTCTTTTTTTCTATCTCATTGACTTATCCTCTGATTTTTATTTATTTTTTTATTGCTGTTGACTGGGCTTGGGTTTGGGTTGTTCTTGTTTTTCCAAATTTTTGAGTTGCATCATTAAGTCATTTATCTATGTTCTTTCTGATTTTTTAAATATAGTCACTTAGAACTATAAATTTCTCTCATAGGATTGTTTTCAACTTGTCCCAGAGATTTTGTTGTGTTGTATTTTCTTCTTCATTTAGTTCTAGAAAAAAAATTATTTCTTCTTAAATTTCTTTTTAACCCATTCATCATTTAGTAATGAGTTGTTTAATCTTCACAAGTTTGTATATTTACTAGAGATTTGACTTTAAGTTTTATTACACTGTGGTCAGATAGTATACACAAAGTTATTTAAGTCTTTTGAAATCATAAGATTCTTTTCATGTCCTTGGACATGGTCTATTTAGAGAGTCTTCTATAAGCTATTTAGTAGAATGTATTTTTTTGGAGTTTGGATGGAATATTCTGTATCTGTTAGGTCCATCTTATGTATGATGTCATCTAATTCTGATGTTTCTTTGTTTATTTTTTATCCAGATGACTTGTATATTGGAGAAAGTGAGGTATTGAAATCACGTGCTATTAATGACTGGTTTTAATCTGTGTCTTTAAATCCAGTAGTACATTTTTTAAAAAATGAAACTGGGTGTGTCAGAGTCTGGTGCATTTATGTTTAGGATTGTCATATCTCCTTAGTTAACTACTCCCTTGATGAGAATGAAGTTATCACTTCTCATTAGCTTTAATTTGAAGTCTATTTTGTCAGATATTAGGATAACAATGCCCGCTTGCTTTCTGGTTCCATTCAGCTGGAGCGTGTTTGTTTATTCTTTAAGGCAGTTTCTATCTTGAAAGCTATGTTCCTTGTAGACAACCAACAGATTTTGTTTCTTGATCCACACAGTCAACTTATGTCTTTTGATCAGAGAATTGAGACAATTGATATTTAAAGTCGTTATTGAAACATGTATGTTAGTTGTGATCACTGTGGTGTTGGTTTTAATGTTATTTGTATTCTCAGTGATATTTTGTGTTTTAGTAATCATGGATTTGTATTTCTTTCCATGGTCTATTAGCTGTGGTAATTCTCTTCAGCTCAAAATATTGCTCCCTATATTTTCCTTGAATTTGTTTTTTTAGGTGTAATTTTTAAAAAATTGGTTTATTTATTTTATGTATATGAGTACACTGTAGGTGTCTTCAAACACCAGAAGAAGGCATTGGATTCCATTACAAATGGTTTTGAGCTACCATATGGTTGCTGGGAATTGAACTCAGAACTTCTGGAAGATCAGTCAGTGCTCTTAACTGCTGAGCTCTTTAGGTGTAATTTTTAAACGCTGTTTACATCATGAAAAATTTTTTCTTCCTCCTTGAACTATGGCAGATAGTTTTGCTGGGTATATTAGTCTAAGTTTCCCATCATAGTCTTTTAGAACTTCGAAAGCATTGCTCCAGACTCTTCTTGTTTTCAAAGCTTCCATTGAGAAATCAGCTGTTATTCTAATGGATTTTCCTTTATATGTGACTTGTGTTTCTTCTCTTGATGCTCCCAATATACTTTCTGATATGTATACTTAGTATTTTGACTATGAGATGCTATGGAGATTTTTTTTCTGGTCTTGTTTATTTGGTATTCTGTGTGCCTCTTGTATCTGTATGGGTGTGTTCTTTCCTTAGTTTGGAGATGTTTTCTTCTATGGTTTTATTGAAGATCTGGTCTATGGCATTGACTTGTGGTTCCTCTCCCTTATCTATGCCTATTTATTCAAAGATTTAGTCTTTTCATGGTGTCCCATATTTACTGTATGTTCCTTTCCTGTGTTTTAAAGTATTTTTCTTACCCCTTGCTTATCTGGTTTAACGCTTCTGCTTTATTTTCGAATCCTGATACTCTCTCTCCATTCTACTTACAAGGCTTTCCTTTGAGTTTTCCAGTTGGATTACTAACTTTTTCAATTCCATCTTCATTTCAGCTTAAGTCCTCTTTAGCATTTCTCTCTTTTTATTGAATTCTATTCTCAAGTCCTGGATTGTCTTCATCATCTTCATCAGCTTTATCTTGTGTTTTCTTGGACATCACTCAGACACTTATTCTCCTTAAGTTTTTTCTCTTTAATATCATTAAGTTCTTTCTTTGTGTATTCTTTATACTCCTTAATTATTGGATGAAGTTTATGATTGGTCTTTTAAATTCTGTGTCCTGGGGTTCATCCAGGTAATTCTCGTTGGCAAAGATTTCTATAGGACTGGCAGGTTTGTGAGAGAAAATACTGGATTGGTCGTTCATGCTTTTTCCTCCAGTGGGATCTGGGCATGTGGATTCTTTTGTTAGTTCTAAGTCTGAGATGGAAGAGTAGGTTGGAGCAGAGGGGAAAATGTGCAGGTGGATTGGGTCTAAAGTTTGGAAATGGTTTAGGTGGAAGGGAGCCAGGTGCGAAGAGGGATGGTGTACAGGATGTGGATCCTGGTCCAGGCCTGGAGTACTGAAGTAGATCTGGTTAGTTGGAGAGGTTGGATTTGGTAATGGAGGGGCCTGCACATTTGGAGACTGGCAGGAATGGGTCCCTGTGGAAGCCTAGAGGTTGGTTATGACTCCAGCAGAGTTGGACAGTCTAGATCAGGGTACTGGATATCAGGGTACTAGATATGGGACCTGGCTAGATCTAGCAGGTTGGGGAGGGTGTTGGAGGGGAGGGTCAGGCAGACTCAGCGGGAGACCCTCGAAAAATATGAGCAGGATCTGGCTGGGTAGAGAGGTTTGACAGGCACCGCCTTTCTCTTTTAATAAGAGTTTACACTTTTAGAAATTAATGGAGTCTTCTGAGGAACAACATTAATCTTATTAAAGATGGCACCTCCTCCCCATGATCTAACTATCTTACAGTAGGTCATACCTCATCCTCTTCTGTCTTCTTCTCATCTTTCTCTTCCTCTTTGAGTTACTCCTCCTTTTCATTTAGCTCCTTGGTTCTTCAGTGTAGTCTTGCCATGTAGCCCAGGCTGGCCTCAAATGTATAATTTTCCTGCCTCCCAGAATACTGTAATTATAGCTATGCACGACAACACCTGGCCTAAGCCCCATCTCTTTGACTCTATCCCTCTAGAGACAGGAAGATCAGGGGTTCAAAAACAACCTTGGCTATATAGAGAGAGTTCAAAATCTAGCCCAGGCTGTCTGGGTTTCAGGTTGCCCTTTCGGCAGGGAAGTGCTAAGAATTCTGAGTCAGTTTGTTGACACAGTCTGAAAGTCTCAACTGTCTGAACTCGGCTTGGAGTAGCCAATAATTTGGAATCCTGAATGTAGCCCTACTTCATGGGACTCTGTCCTATAATGGAGATAGAACCTGGGCCTATAGATTCTGTGCCAAGGTTTCTGAGCAGGTATCAAAGGAGACATACTACTTGATGACAGTTCATTTATGTCCAGGCATTTCCAAATGGAAAAGTTCAGTGAGGCTGGTACAAGAATATTGCAACTAACAAGGACTTTAGCTTTTTCTTTTCACAGTGTTGGGGAGACTTTTCCCCACGCGACCTCTTAACCTCAGCCACAGCTGCCCACGAGGTATCAACCCCAAGGTTACAGAAGCCATGGGCAAACTGGAAGAATCTTGGAGCATCAATAGATTAGGGGAGTAACAAAGCAAGCAGACAGACAGACAGACAGACAGACACGGGTAAGGTCTCTGCCTTTCTGCATTTACTTTCCTCTTTCTATTCAGTTGACTTGAAAATACAAAACCTCAACGATACATCCACCACATTTGATGATGAACTAATTTAGACCAGCCCCAGGAACTGTCCCGCAGGACACAGGAATTCAACCTCAGTTTAGAAAATCCCTGACATCTGACGCAGGAGGATTTGCGGGGTTAGTGGAAATTGCTTTCTCCCGCTGGCCAGATTACAGACTGCAGCTTCATTTTTGCAGGGTAAACATCCTTCTAATAACACACACAGCAATGATGCCTTAAGAGAGGACGGACGGCAGCTCCTCACCGGCTCCTTCTCACGGCTTCTCGGGAGAACTGTTTGATTTGGAAATCTATGTTGGCTGTCCAGAATATGAAATTTGGCATATTCCTTTTGTGGTGGGGATGGGTTCTGGCTGCTGAGAGTACAGTGCACTGGCCAGGAAGAGAAGTTCATGAGCCATCTAGGAAAGGCAGGTGAGTGACCTAGAGGAAAAGGCCTTGGGTAAAGAATGAAAAGCTTCTCCGTGGAGGAGTCTTAGCAGCAGCACCGTTGGATCTGTGTGGGAGCATCTCCTCCCCTCCCCCTCCTTCTCTTCCCCTTTCAGGAAGCTAGAATGGTGTTTTCCTTTTTAATAGTACTACATTTGATAGTATTAGCATGTTTTCTTAAATTTGTTATTAATTATATAAAAGATATTCTGAATAAGAGATTATTAAACCAAGGACGATTCATATCTGCAGATTCTCAGGGGACTGATGGAAGTTTTGATCTGTGGGAATGAGTTACAAAGTAACTAATTATTTCCGTTATGAATGTGGGACTCTCTTCAGTTGTGTTTTAAAAACAGGTTTCTTTGGGCTGTACAGCTAGCAGCATCAGTAGGTTGTCCCCTACCTGCAACCTGGGAGGGGTTGGGGTGGTGCGTGCCGTCCCTGCCGTGGCTGCCTCACAGATGAAGCTTAGGCAGCCAGGGGCCTGGCCTTTGGCCTCACCTGGCTCCAAGGCTACCTGAGTTTGGTTGCATCTTTCACACAGACCCACCCGGCATCAGTCAGTAAAGCAGGCACTGGAGACAGTCAGGCCCCGCCCTCCTTCACTGCTGAGGAGACGGATGAAGAAAAGTCATCAGCGTTCAATTCCAGTCGAACCTGAGTTTTCCTTCTATTCGGATGTAAAGCTGCAGAGTAGGAAAGACCAGCTAACGTGAGGGAAGCATGTCTGTCAAAGGTCTGGATCCAGTAGGCCCCTGTCTTGTTCGTCTGTGCTCCCTCCTGAAGCCCGAGTCCTCCCCAAAGCAGATTCACAGCTCAGATGTGCTCACGTCTCTAGTTTCTGTCTGCTTCTACAATGGCATTAGACTAGGTTCTCAGACATCCGGTGGTCACGGCGAGCCTGGGGCCTGAGGAGGACTACTGTGCCTAGCGAGAGGGTCAGGAACTGCTTGGGCAAATGGAATTTGTGCAGTACCCACAAAATGCAGGGATTCTTTGACCCAAATGTGCTCGTGGGAATTAAAACCAACTAACACTGCTAATTGACCCCAAAACCCTCAGGCTTTCCCCCCCAAGACACAATTAGAACAGCAACCGGTCTAGAGAAGTCATAAAGACTGGGTATGTTCTTTTAGAAAGTTTTTTAAATTAATTTTAAAAATTAAATTAATTAAGTTTATTTTAAGTTAATTTTAAAAATTGAAGTATTATAAGCTGATTATTAAAGGGTAAAGAGCATTATATAGGCATAAATATAGGTATAAATTATATAGGCGTTATATAGGTATAAATGTGGAATAATTAAATCAGGCTAGTTAACATATGTGTCACCTCAGATATTCAGGGTTTCTTTCTTATATTTTATTTATTTACTTAATGTGTATGGGTATTTTGTCTGTATGTCTGTCAGGGCGCTGTGTGTGCTCAGTGCCACAGAGGTGAGAAGAAGGGATTGGATCCCCTGGGACTGGAGTTAAAGATAGTTGTGAGTTGCCATGTTGATGACTGAAATAAGTCTGGATCCTCCAAAAGAGCAGCCAGTGTGCTTAACCACTGAGCCATCTCTCCAGCCCCCTTAGGATTTTATTTTGGTGAGAAGATACAAAGTGAATGCCGATGGCTTTCAAACCTACAGCACATTATAGCTGCAGTCACCTTGCTAATAGTATTTCAACACAAAGTTGTCTGCCTTTCACCCAGCATCTCCAAACCCAGCCTCGAGCAACGTCCTTCTGCTGTCTGTTTCTGTGTATTGGGGTCTGCCTGTAAGTGAGATGAGCAGTCAGTGTAAGAAATTGTGCCTAAGGGTGCAGGGTCACACATCTGTAATGTCAGTACTTGAGAGGTTAAGGCCGGGCATCCTCAGCTACATAGTAGGGTGGAGGCTAGTCTGGGCTATATGAAACCCAGTCTCAAAGCAAACCAAGAGGATGGGGCGGAGGAGAAGACATAGAAAGAAAGAGGGAGAAAGAGTAGGGATGGAGTAAGGCATGAGGGGGACAAAAAGAAACAAATTGGCTTTATAAGCCATGGAGATCACTTCCTGGCATTTAAAAGCAGGGAATTAGATTCGGGTTAGATTTTGGGCCTGTGAAGGAGGCTGAGAATACTCGGCTTAGGTGTTTGCCCTGTGTCTTACTCGGCTTAGGTATTTATCCTGTGTCTAGCTTGTTAACTTAGGATAACAAACCTGCAGCTTCGTCCCTGTTGTCACAAACAGCAGTCTCCTTTTGTAAAGGGCTGACTATTGTCCTGTTAAAGACACACTGTGTCCTCTTCACTTGTCCTTGTGGACACTTTGGTTGGTACCGTACCTTGTCTGGACAGTGCCATGGTGAATGTGGAAATGCAGACATCTGGTCAGAGCGCTGAATTCAAAACCTTTACTTGTAATCTCTGAAGAATGGCGGCATGACAGTTCTTTTCATTCTTTGAGGAGTCTCATAGTTTTGTGAAATAGCTTTATTAATTCCTACCCTCACCAACAATGCACACAGGTCACCCCTTCTTCACACCTTGCTCACACTTGCTTTTCCAGTTCCCACTGGCCACTTGGATGGCTCCCCTAGAAAGAGAAAATGACAGGCAGAGGTATGTCTTCATTCTGTTTTAAATCCAGTTATTTGCTTTCTTACTGAACTGAATTTCCTATGAAATTTTACTGGCACCCTTCTCAGATGCAGGCCTTGCCAATAGCTTCTCCGGCCTGCAGGTCACTTCTTTGTCCCTAGTTGCTCCCTTCACTGTGGAGAAAGCTGTGGGTTCGATATAATCCCACTGGTTTTGCTTCTGTTGCATGAACATTTGAGGTCACATCCAAAATACAATCACCAAGCTCAAGGGCCCGAGTTTTCCTTGTTGTCTACCGGTAGTTTTTTTTTCCCCCCCGAGACAGGGTTTCTCTGTGAAGTCCTGGCTGTCCTGGAACTCGGTCTGTAGACCAGGCTGGCCTCGAACTCAGAAATCCGCCTGCCTCTGCCTCCCAAGTGCTGGGATTAAAGGCGTGCGCCACCACTGCCCAACCGGTAGTTTCATAGTTCGGACCTTACACTTAAGTCTTTAATCCATTCTGAGTTCATCCTTGTACTCAGTGTGAGGTAAAAATCCAGTTTACTCTTCGGCATGTGGATATCCAGTTGTCCCAACACTCTTTATGGAACGAACTGTCATTTTTCTATTGGGTGTTCTCTGTGCCTTTGTCATAATCGCTGACTGTAAATGTGGAGGTTCAGGGTGGAGATGCTGTTCTGTGGCAGAGCAGAGTTCATATTCTGTAGCTATTATACAAGAGATTGCTTTACTGGCTTCTCTTTTGAACAGTTCCTCGCTAGTGTGCAGAAACATGCTTTTGTGTGTTCTCTAGCTTTACTGCATCATTTATTTATTTATTTATTTATTAGTTTTATTAGCTTTAAGTCGACTCTGGGGTCGGAGGAACATGTTATTATCAAGCAACAGCTGACCTAGCTAAGTACTATCCCATAGTCCTTAGCTGAACAGAAACCATGAGTGTTTGTCTCAGCCTTATTCCTTTTTTATTTTTAAGATTTATTTTTATTAATATGAGTACACTGAGCTGTCTTCAGACACACCAGAAGAGGGCATCAGATCCCATTACAGATGGTTGTGAGCCACCATGTGGTTGCTGGAAATTGAACTCAGGACCTCTGGAAGAGTAGTCAGTGCTCTTAACTGCTGAGCCATCTCTCCAGCCCCCTTCAGCCTTATTCCTACAGAGTGAAACAGACTTTTTTTTAAAAAACGGTTACTTTTCAAACATTTTCATTCTTTTCTTTTCTTTCTTTCTTTCTTTCTTTCTTTCTTTCTTTCTTTCTTTCTTTTTTTTTTTTTTTTTGTTTTTTTGAGACAGGGTTTCTCTGTGTAGCCCTGGCTGTCCTGGAACTTTGTAGACCAGGCTGGCCTCGAACTCAGAAATCTGCTTGTCTCTGCCTCCCAAGTGCTGGGATTAAAGGCATGCACCACCACTGCCCGGCCTTGTGGGTTGTTTCTTTTTTTTTCTTTTCTTTTCTTTTTTTTAAACATTTTCATTTTTTATATTGGAAGAAACACATGACACTTTTTAAATTCTGCGAATATATTTTTGTAACTTTATTGCATCTAATTTTGCCTACATATGTACTTATTTTAAACCTACAAAATGATCATTTGATTAGCTGCATAATCGTGCATAATATGCATAATATGCCACTATTTAAGCATTTTCCTTTATTTATTAACATTTGATTTCTTTTTATTTATTATTGCAAATATATTTTTACAAGATTTATTACTTATTTTTGTGTACAAATATTTTACCTGTGTGTATGTATATATGTATGTATATATATGTGTGTGTATGTATGTATGTATGTATGTATGTGTGTATATGTATGTATGTGTGCATATGTATGTATGTATGTATGTATGCATGTGTACCACGTGTATATACTGTCCATACACATCAGGGAATGTATTGAAGGTTGTTAGTTACCATATGGAAACTGAGAACCATTGGGAACTGAACCTGGATTCCCTTCAAGAGCAGCAAACATTCCTAACCACTGTGCCATTTCTCTAGCCCCTACTATTACAAATATTATACATGGTTGTTTAGTTAGGATAGACTCTTGAAAGTGTCCTGGATCAGCCAGATGTGGTAGTGTACACCTTTAATTTAACCACTCAGGAGGCAGAGGCAAGAGGATCTCTATGAATCTGAGGCCAGCCTGGTCTATGTAGTGAGTTCCAGGACAGTCAGAGCTACATAGTGAGGCCTTGTCTCAAACTAAAAACAACAAAATAATAAAATAAAGACAGTGTCCTGGATCAACTAGCATGCAGACACTTAGAACTCTAGGTATAGGTTTGGAGACGTTTGAGTGAGGAAAGTCTCTTGCTGCTAAGTCTGAGGAGCTGAGTTCCATCCCTGGGTCCTGTAAAGTAAAGGGAGACAAACAACTAACTTTTGCAAGTTGTCCTTT